CAAAAAAAAATTGTAGTCTAATCCAGTTATTAAAAGGTTGGTAAGGTTAAAAATGATCAACTTGTTACATTTCACTTTTAGTGAACCAACTAGCTATTTCACTTACAAAAAGAACAAAATATATTTTTTTTTATAAATTTGAAAGTATCCCGATCTGATAAAAAAAATTCAAACTAATTTTCAAAAACAATTACAGCTCACGAATGAACAATCTCTTGGAATTCAAATGATCCCTAAGCAATGACCATATAATGGAATGTCATTGAACTCATATTATTTAGTCCAAAATCTACAAAACACAGTAATTCTACTTCTAAAACTTGACAATCTGATTAGAACTGAAGGTTGTTACGCATCGATTAAAATACATGAAGTCGCAGAGTAGAGATCTAGAAGCTTACAAACTGATCAGAATGGTGGAAGCAGAGAAAAAGAAGGAAGACATACGATCATCGTCGTGGTCATCATCTTTCTTCACTGAGTGGTTGCGCCATAGCTGATCTTCTGATGCAACAGACGGAGCAAATGCTACAAAATCAATGTTTCTGGGATGCAAGGGACACTCAAGCAGGATCCTGGATATGACGCAAGCTTCTCAAGCAGCTACGTTTTTAAAATATGAAATCAGAAATGGGAAGAATACTATGTTTTGTTTTGATAATTGGCGCATGGGTAAACTGATCGACATTGCATGAGATTCAAGTACTATGACTCTTGGTATTAACAGATATGCCACTGTTGCAAAAGCAGCCTCGTCTGAGCTCTGGAACATGAGAAGATGTTGTAGAAATCACCTATCGGCGATGATCGCTGCCGTCCACTCTGTTCAAACCCCCGGTAGAGAATGCAGGAGGAGATCGTGTGCTGTGGAGACATGGAGAAGATAACTATAGACCTTGTTTCTCATCCTATGTAACATGGGACCAAGTTCGAATTCATAGCAGTGTGGTGGAGTGGAGTAAAATAATATGGTTCTGAGAAGAAATACCACAATTCTCATTCATCGCGTGTCTGGCAGTGCAGAACATGCTTTCAACATGAGATCGAACTCGTGTGTGGGGAGAGATTCAAGTTTGCAGGCTATGTGGGGAGCCAAATGAAACACGAGATCAACTCTTATTTGCATGCCCGTACTCCTATACTACCTGATTGGCTGTTTTCTTCCTCGGCCAAACCCCTGACTGGTTCATTACCATGAACAGCCCGCCGTAATAAGTTTTATTCATGTCTGCTGCAGCTAGCTTTTCAAGGATAAATCCAAACGCAATGGTCGAAAGCATAACAATCCATGGCACTCACCATCACAGCTTGTTAGGTTGCTTGACAGAGCCATCCGTAACAGAATAAACTCCACTCGGCTGAGAAGAAACTAATGAGTCGAATTCCAATAGCCTTTTCAAAAACTTTAGTATTTTAAAAAATTTTTTGTTGATATATAAATTTAACATTTCAAGAAAAAAAATTCAAAATCCGCCAACTAGGCAATCCAAAACTGCATACAACTAAACCAGCATTACGTGGTTAGTTATATTTTATTTTAATTCAAAATAAGCTTCCTTTGGATAATTTGAAGAATGCCTTAATTTAATTAATATCTTTGTGTATAACGGATAATTATAAACAATTACACCAACTACCAACATATATATGTATTACCCAAAACTTTAGGCCTGAGGTTAAACGTCAAATTTAAGTTTGACTCGTAAAGTATGTGGCTCCAAATGGTGACGGCGGATTTAGTATTAAAAGCGGCACGAAACTAAAGTGTGGGATGGTGCAACTGTGGTTTTGCAGAAATTTAGTACGGTATGAGACAATTGTAGTTTTAAGTAAAAAGCGATGCGAAATATTGTTTGATTGGTGACACTACATATCTGCGGTATCAAATATTTTCAATATATAAAATAATAATATTGAATATAATATATATTAATATAATATAAAAAATATATTAACATAAGAAATATATTTTAAAATAAAAATGCATTAATGTGAAATACGTTTGTCAAGTTAAATTTTGATAAAATAAACGATACAAAACAATGTTTGATTGTTGAAAAAATATTTTGCGGTTTTGCTAGATAAATATTTAAATTAAAGTGAAATAGAAAATTTGGTTTTGATTATTGGGTTCGAACTATATAAGCTTTGGGAGGGTAACTGGTATGATCTAAACCCGGATCAACTCGGAAAAGAGGTCTGGTTCAGTTTTCCGATTCCGGATAAATATACACATGGCATATATTTATATATTTAATAAATTGGTTTGGTTATTATTTTTGATTTTTCTCTTTAATTAGTAATATTTCATGAATCATTTTAAAATAAGATAACAGTAATTAACAAAAAAAGGAAAATACACATTGATGTAAGTACCACACCATAATTTAAAATACATAAATTTAAAACATTAACCCTTGTAGAAAAAAATAAATAAAACATATGTCAAGTAACGCACATCTACAGAGAAAAACACACCAAATGGAAGCATACCTCTAAGCTTTGTGCGGTATTTGTATGTCCCAACTTGGACCGATTCAAAATTTGTCATAAATCGATAAATAATAAAATAATAATTTTTTAGAAAATTCTATGTAAATATGGTCCCATTAAAATTATAAATTAATAATTGTGTATACATATTTTACATAAGTAAGAACATATCAATATACTGTTTGTTATATATTTACAATGAAATTCTCTTTATATTTTCTTAACACTTATTATATTTTTGATGAGATTTGGTAATATTATGTCTAAAACCACACTAGATTATATGCAATATATATTATATACAAAAAATAATATAATAAAATTGATATAAATGTCAAAATATTAAAAAATAATAATTAATATTTATACACTAAAATCAAATATATATTTTTATTTTAGAAAAAATATTTTAAAATAAAAAATCTAAATAAGGAAACTTTTGTAAATTAATATCTCTATAAATTAATAAAATTTCAAAGTCCTAACATTATTAATTTATAGAGGTTTTACTGTACCATTAAGAACTATTAAAAATTAAATATAAATTATGCATGTCCTAAAAAATATTTTTTTTTAAAGAAACATCGGGATATTATATTTTAGTTCTTATGTTTGTTTTTTGTTTCACATCCAATCTGAACACTAGAAAAGGATTAAAAAACAGAGAGGAAAACCAATGAGGTGAAATAAGAAACGTGAATTAATTAGAAAATTGAGTAATTTACAATCGGTTTGCGTTAAAACTGCCGTACATCGTCAGCCAGGTTTTAATCCATACTAGATTTTGACCCGCCCTTAAAGAGGGCGGGTCAACTGTTTTTGCTTTAAATTTATGCCCTTGTTCGATTATTCACAAGTATGTATAGGCATGAGTATCCGGGTTCAGATCGATTGTCGTTAATAATTTGGTTTGGTCTGACATATATAGATTAAATAAAATTACGTACAATTTAATGTGTGGTGTAGGATTTATTTTTTTATTCCTTTTAGTTAAATAACAAATTATAGGGACCCGATAAAATTATGAGTTCTATTCGGTAATCTAAAGTATTGATTTGTAAAAACTGAAATAAGATAATTAATTTTTAATAATTTCATATTGGTTAAAATTGATTTTTTTAAATAAAAATTATTTTTAGATATATTTTACCAATTCGTTTTTGAATCATTCCTAGACAGAGAC